TGGGTTCGGATGAAAGCGGAAACATTGACACCTCACGGATGCAATGGTCCCCGCATTTGGAGGCACGGGAAAACCGGGGATGGACGGTGGGTTCGGATGAAGGCGGAAACATTGACAGCTAGCAGATGCAATTGCGCCCGCATTTGGAGGCGCGGAGCGTGGGATTGTAAGCGACGATGAAAATGGTGCCATCAAGAGAGAAATTTCATCAGATCAAATTTTGAAAAGGTTTATTTGAGGTTTATTGGACTCCATCAGAGACCAAACACATTCAAAGCTCCCGGTGCCCCCCTGCCGTGCCCCAAAATGGCCCAGAAGCCCCTGCATGGCCCTAGCCAACCAGTTGGCTGGCTCCGATATTTTTGAAAACACTTTCTATGGCTAGCACCACCTACTTTACTCTATATCTTAGGGCTATGGCTCTGACGCTGGCGCTCCGCTTTGGGATGAATTTCGAGCTCTACATCAGAATGAACAACACCGATTTCTTCAGAGACGAGTCACTCACCGCCCTGGCTCGGAGCACTCTCGGGTCCCTTTTCACTCCAGGTTACGTCGACGCCCTCATGAAGTTCTGCGCGAACGGTCCAGAGGCTCAATACATCCTCTACGAGGGCGGCCTCTATCACTTGCTGGCGCGGCCTGAGGCTATTGCTTTTCTCTACGCAGGCAGTGTACTGAAATTCGTAGCGGAAGCGTATTCTAAAGATCTCGCGCATCGCCTTGCGAGAGGACCCAGTGCGCAGGTCACGGAATTCCAGAAGGGAAAAACGCTACGCGTTACTCAAGCGGGCAACTCGGTCTTCTATACAACGGATCAAGTCAGCAATAGTGAGATTTCGATGCTTTTGGGTCACATCCCCGGCGATAATCCAGGGACGGATACCACGCTCTGGCCTTCCCCGGCCATTTTCGAGAGATACAGCACTCATATGCGAGGCTACGTCTCCCCGAGCGTAAACGAGATCTTGGAGCACTTGTGTAAAACCATCATCGAGGACAAATGCTACATCTGGAGGACGCGAGCCGAGTGGAGAGAATTCTTGCGTGTAGGAGCTAAAGGAAAGTTCGCTCCTTCTAAGATCCCAAGCGCTTCCGACTTTGACGAAGGCGAGTGTCTTCTTCGACGGTGTCTCCCTGTGGATTGGCAACACATGTTCGTTCTGGACATCGAGCTGCCGGAAGAAGTTGTTACCCATTCGACTTCGGCTCTGTAAGGATCTGCGGATTGACATTTAAATTTTTGAAAACACTTACTATGATAGCCCGTTTCCGAATGTGTTTTGTACTATTATTGATCGAAGCTGTAGATTAGTCAGTATATACACGTGATTAATCTAATCTACACTTAACCCACAACCCAACGCTCAACTGCCTTCCAACCCTCGTCGACGTGCTCCGAGGCCTTGATAGAGGCAAGAGCTAGTACTTTGTGCTACGAATCTACGAAACTACGAATCTTACGACTAATCCATGCCTTACGCCTTTGAGGACCCTTGAAAGGATAATCAGTTCTCTTTTCGTGAATATTCGCGAGGGATTGATTTCTGTTCATCAGGGAGTTTGGGTATCCATCTCCTGAGCAGAAATCTTAAGAATTGACCGTCTAGACGAGAGTCTCTCACACTAAATAACGATCGCGTACTCGCCAAGGCTTATCTGAAACAAACGAACCCGTTGTAAGGTCAACGATCCTTACACGCCCTGTCTCTGCAACATGCTGGCTTTCCAACTATCATCAAGCCCGGCATCTGTTTTCTGTTTACCATCTTGCTCGGTTTTCCGCTGAACTCGTGCACCTCCAGACCGATCACGATCAAGCAGTCATAATGGCAAACACTGTTGGGACTGATCAAGGCCGTTCTGATATTCAAGCCTGTCTGAAGGTAAGAATTCAGATTCATTTTTGTCTCCCACGATTGAATCCAAATAAATCAAAGCGACTTGTACAAACCATGGACCGCTATGAAGCGGCTGATTCCGCTACCCAGCGTGCAATGTTGGAGGCTGTAGAAGCCGGATTGGTGGCCGTGGAAGCCAGACGCGATGCTCATGCGGCTGGCTCGGAAGTTGGAGGAAATCCGGGGGGAGTAGAGGGAGATGTTGAGAACATGCCGGATCTGGTTGCCCACTTCGAGTATTGAATACTTAGTGAACCACCCTGTCCAGGCTCCAGGCTTTGGTACTGCAGTGATGTTCTGGTTGTAAGTTTTGATCAGGACCGGTAGTTGCCGGCTAAGGGTCAATAAGGGCTTCAGATGGACTCCACCTGATATTAAGGCCTTAACTTAATATGGGTTAAGCTCTTACTAAGACTAAGCCCTTAAGGTCTTAACTACAACACTGCTCTTAACAGAGTAACTAGTATTATTCTGGAGTTTAATCAGTTAGCTATAGGACTCACCCGACAAGCTGCAGGGAACCCGTGTAGCAAGTTCGGTGTCAATATGGATGCCAGATAACCAAGGGAGTTATTGAAGGAATCAGTTAAACTGCTGTTGAAGTCTATTGAACTAAAAAGTTGAACTATGTACGCACACTGGAACTGGAAAGCCCGGCCCTGAAGTGGTCATGTGCCCCAGCGCGTCTTGAAGTAGGGAACAAACAAGGAACAACACACCTGTAAATGGATGATTAAGAGGGCTAATGGCGCGATGTGCACTTAGTCTTCGCATAGGGAAATGAAAATACAGCCTGTAGGAGGGTTTGTAAGGTTGATTGGTCTATTGTTGAGTACATACCACTTAATAATGGGCTTGGTAGGGAGAATTGGCTTAGAAATAGTGTTTTAAAGCTGCTCAGATGGTTAAATCCCAAGATCTGAGCAGACTGGATGCTCTGTTCTCTAAAGCTGGGCAGTAGGGATGTTCTATTCTATTTATCTGGGCACTTACAAATGTGCATTCTCTCTCCGCTAAATTATTATATTGTTTGTAACCCGCAGTAGCCAGTAACACTATAAAGCTCCACCAAATGTACTAGATAGAGAGTGAATTATCACCTCCCTTGTTGGCACAAAGCTCTTTTTGAGTCTTTAGCCTCACCAGCTATTTAGTTCAGCAAGACTTATCAGTCTTGTGGGTTCTATTACATTGCCACTACAACTTGGGGGTTGTTTAAATTAACTAAGGTTATTCCAACGGTTTGACAACCATAAAGTCAATTACAACCACTTATTCTTAAGGTTGAAGGGTTTCTAAATCCTACTTCCCCGAACACACACACACGTGCATTATTGAGTAGTAGTCAGTGTTTTATTTGGTGTTAAATTGAGCAGGCGTTGTCTTGCTCTTTTTGATATTAGATTTCACTGTTGCACGCAAGTGCACCGTTTCACCACCAATGACACATGTTGGGAGGCCCCGTACCATACACCATGTCCGGCTGCTTTCACCCCCGAAGTGCATTAGGATCTCATGACAATTTCTTGCAATGCTGATGCGGCTCAGACACTGGCAAATATGGACAGTGCGCAACATGCCCGAGATGCCCGCCCCCAGGGATTCAGCGTTAATATTCAACCTCACTAGTATGCCATTGATATTATGAGATTTTTCTCGCCAGCGTCGGAATTTTGGTGGATAATTCCCCGAAGATATTTGCCTCGTGGTACCATGCTTTGGGCTTTGGTATTACGGGACTCAGAGGACGAACCAAAAAAAAATGGAAACTGAAATCCAAGACGAAAGCTCGGACACGGTGAGTCGAACCCTGGTCTGCCTGCAAAATGAGCTGGCATTCTTCGACAACACAAGAGGCGGTGTACCGTACACCATGGCCGATTCATCGTACTGTTACAAACCTCAGTAGGCCGTAGCACTTTGCAACATCCCAGTTATTCCCAATGAACACAATTGCACTGAGACGCCCGGTGCCCCCAAAATATTCAACCTCGCTAGTACGCTATTGATATTATGAGACTCCCCATTGAACCTTTTTCCGCGTTCACAAACTTGGAAAATTCTGTGAGCCGGCATAAGAAAAAAGGAGTCCAAACACGGACCATTCGGACGCCGGGAGTCGAACCCGCTCTACCTCCAAAACGGCAATTTTCGGCTAAGACGAGAGGCGGTGTACCATACGCCATTTCCGATTGCTTTCACTCATTTGAAGCTCGCTAGGTTCGCACTTTTGTTGGATCAGCCCACTTAGATCGAGTAAAATATAGATGGAGCCCTGGATACCCCAAAGTGTGTTAACCTCACTTATGCTGCCATAGATATTTCCTCGAAGATATTTGTCTCATACTTTCGTGAGCATTGAATGTGGGCATTTGAGCAAAAAAACGAACACGCCACTAACATCCGGACACGGGGAGTCGGACCCCGGTCGTCCTCCAACATCATTGGAGATTATTATTCCTTCGCAAGACAAGAGGCGATGTACCATAGACCATGTTCGATTACTTGTACTGTTATTAACCTCGCTAGGTCGTAGCACCTTGCAGCGCTCCAGTTATTCACCAACGAAAATAACAATACGCTCGATGCCCGATGCCCCCAAAATACTCAACCATATGCCATTGATATCATGAGATCCCACCCATTGAAGATTTTTCACGCGCTCACAAGTCGCAGATTTCTGCGAGCTAGGCATGACAAGATGAAAAAAATGTCACAGAGTAACGGACCATTCGAACACGGGGAGTCGAACCCCGGTCTGCTTCCAGCAATCTTGGATTTCTTCTACCATGTTGGGAGGCCGTGTACCTCACACCATGTCCGATTCCTCGTATCCCTACAAAGTGAATTAGGATCACAATTTTCTGCGAAGTTCATGCGGCTCAGACACCGGTAAACATGGACAGTGCGCAAGATGCCAATTTAAATGATTCAACTCTACCCCCGAAGCTCAAGTAAATCATGAACGGCACTCACAACGAGGCGTGGTTTGAACTCGGTCGAAAAAGATGGATGGAAATTCACAACAATTTTTCTTGGATCTACTGACACAGTGCTAAACAGAGAGAGAAAAACAAAAAGATGAGTCTATAACAAGTATTCGGACACGGGGAGTCGAACCCCAGTCTGCTTCCAACAATTTTGCCCATCACCATATGTTGGGAAGCCGTGTACCATACACCATGCCCGATTCTTTTCACTCATCTGAAGCTCACCATGTCCGATCCCTACAAAGTGTTCACAATTTTCTGCGAAGCTCGTGCGGCTCAGACACTGGTAAACATGGACAGTGCGCAAGATGCCAATTTAAACGATTCAACTCTACCCCCGAAGCTCAAGTAAATCATGAACGGCACTCACAACGAGGCGTGGTTTGAACTCGGTCGAAAAAGAATGGATCAAAATTAACACCGATTTTTCTTGGATCTACTGACACAGTGCGGAACAGAGAGAGAGAAACAAAAAGATGATGCTAAATCAAGTATTCGGACACGGGGAGTCGAACCCCGGTCTGCCTCCAACAACCTTGGCATCGATATTGACATGTTGGGAGGCCGTGTACCATACACCATGTCCGATTGCTTTCACTCATTTGAACCTCGCTAGGTAGCATTTTATTTTATTTTTTTGGATCAGCCGACTTGTATCGAGTAAAACACGGACAGCCAACTTCCGAGACACCCGGAAAGATAAAGAGTCAGCCAACAAGTCGAGCCCCGGGCCCGGATGGCAGGTAAGAAGTAAGTAAAGAGTCCATTACATAGAATCCCGCGAACCCATGGGCCATTATACAATACTCGTATTTACAGCTAAGTATCCATAGCCCCCGGCTAATCGAACAACGGCCCGCGATCGTCGAACGCAGACCCGCGATCCTTGCGGCCGAACCCTGCATCGTCGAACCCGCTACTAGTACCGAACCCGGGATGGCGCCTCACGCCCTGGGGGAAGTTGTCAGTCGCTGGCTCGGATCAGAGCGCCGTGCGGGGCTGGTAATTCAAGCTATCATCGAGAGAAGGGGGACGGCAAAAAAAACCGGGTTGGGACAGCAAATGAAGCCAAAAACAAGAACGGCGGAACGCAGATGGAAAACACTCACATCAACGATAACGTAACATCATCCCCACGCACCTTCGCCTTGATCTGCACGTCCACCTCCACATTCAGATCTAGCCGCAACTTCAGGGTGTCTTTCTTCTTTTGCCCCCTGCCGCCCCCGCCCCCGAGGAGTCCGCCGCCGCCGCCTGGGCTGAGGACGGAGCTGAGAGGATTTGAGAGGGTGGTTTGGCCTGCCTGCTCGGGGAGTTGTTGTTGGGGAACGGACGCAGGTGATTGCTGCGACTGTGAAGACGCCGACGCAGACGAGGAGTGGGATTGGGATGGGGGAGGCCGCCGCGAGGCTCTTCTTGTGATGTTTGTCGGGACTGGGAACGCGACGCCTCGCGCGCGAGCGGCAGCAACGATGGGCAGCTTATTATACCGGAGCTGACGTTGGCTGCTGCGCACGTTCCGCCGAGGTCAAAGGGGACGCGGGAGAAAGAAAGAGAGAGCGATCACCCGCCTGCTAATCCTCGGCCCGCGCGCCGCCGTCGCCGCCGTGCTGCGCGTCGACAACCCCAGCGGGTGGGTCGTGGAGGAGGACGGGCTGAGTGTGTTGCGCGCCGAGTCCGCGTGGGGGGATGACGACGTGCATGACACACCCTCGAGGTCGTCTCGCTCGGCGAAGACGTGCATCCTCCTTCTCTCTCAGTATCCTGTTAAATGAAGCTAACACCACACATCCAGCTCTCCCTCCCCACAACCACACACCGCATCCTCGCGCCCTTCCGGACCATCGGCGCGCTGCTCGCCCCGCCCGTGCTTTCTTCGCCGGATAGGGACAAGGAGGAAAAGCTGTTGAGGGAGATGTTGATGGGCGTGGGGGTGCCGCTTTATAGGGCGTTGGTGGTTGTGTTGCCTGTGCCTGCAAGGACGAGCGAGGCCTCTACCTCCGGCTTGGATTTCTCGGCTACGGCTACCTCTAATGAATCTCAAGCTAATCCGCACAACCCTCATCCTCCTCATCCGCCTCACGCTGAAGTCGACCCCCCCATCGAAATCCCCGCAACCCTGCCCGCGCTCGTGCTCGTCGTCTACCTCGCACCGGCCCTGGACCCTCTGCCCAAGCCTTCCCCCATCGAAGACGAAGATCCGAACGATACGACTGTCTCTCTTGACGCCCCACCTCCTCCTCTTGACCCCACACCCGCAGCCGTCTCTGTCTCCCTTGACGGCGTAGCCGCACCGCGCCTGCCTCCCCGTTTACCTCCCGCTTTGTCTCCCCTCCCGCTCCTTTGACTGCGAGTACGAGTGCGAGCACCACCGACACGTACACACCCTCCGCCCTCCGGCGCTTCCTCGGGCTTTCCTGCTCTTCCTCCGCACACCCCCACGCACAGGAAGAAGGAGGAGAAGAGTAACGAGGAGAAGAGCGCAACCTCTGCGCCGAGTCGGCCGCGCTCTTCGTGGCACGGTGGCGTGCTGGGGGTGGGGGCGGGGGTGCATATGCTCCTGAGCCCGAGCCGTCTGTTCCCGCTCTTTATGATTATGCGGAGTACGAGGAGCGCAGGCGCGGGCGGCGTCGGCGTGTGGACGAGCACCCGCAGCACAACGACCACTGGGAGGTCTGTCTCCCTCCCCCGGCTCGCGGTACACCTCGCTCCTCAAGGGGAGAAATCACCCCACTTCCCCTCCCTGTACGCCCCCTACTCCCCCTACGGTGCACACGCGCACGCGCACGCACACGCACACACCGACCCACTACACCTCCCCTCCGTCCTCGCGCTCTTGGGGGGCGTGGTGAGGGCGTGGGCTTCTCCCTATTCCTCTCCCTCGAGCAACGGCGGAAGAAGAAGGGAAAGCCGGAACTGGGGAGGAAGGTGGGGGCGCGTGGGTACGTTCGTGGCGGGCGTTCTGGTCGGTGTGGGTGTGGGCGTTTGGGTTTGTGCGGTATGAGTGGGTGCGGAACAAGATGCGAGGTGGGGTGGGACAGGAGAGGAGGGAGGGTAGAAGAGGGATTTGGGGAGGGGAAGACGATGGAGCTGGGGAGGAAGACGGAGTTTGAGGAGGAGAGGGAGAAGTTGGGGAAGTGCAAGCCCCGAGGGTGGGAGGCGCGAAGTGGGTGTGAAGCAGGAAGGGGGAGGTGGGAGTGGGAAGCTAGGGGTGGGTGGAGTGAGGAACGAGGGGAGTCGGAGGGGCGGGTGGGATAGGGGAGAGGGAGAGGGTAGTAGGGGCGGTGACGGGCGCGACATCGAGCGTTCCTTATGCCTCGACCTGGAGCTCGAGCTCCAACGGGGCAGCGGGGGCGGGGTGGAGGAAGAAGGTGGGGAGGAGCGGGCGCCGCTGTTCTTCGTTCTTCGGTCCTTGACTCTGGGGTCCTTCTCGCACACGCCCCGCACCCGTCTTTTACTCTCGGTCCTTCCTCAAGTGCACCCGCTCGCCGTCTGCCGCCCGACGTCCTCGTTCTGCGTCTCGTCGGCCCTGCACCTCCCCTCACCGCACCTCACCTCCCTCCCCTCGCCTCGCCGGTGTCAAGATAAAGGGAAAAGAAGCAAGAAGCGAGATCCGCAACAGACGATGACAACGACTTGGGCCTGACGCGATCGCCAGCGCTCTGTCTTTGTCTTCTGTGCACATCCAGATCTGCGTCTGCGTCGACGTACAGGCATGGGCTCGGGCTTGGGCTCGTATCACCCGCCACGTGCGCGCCGTCCATCCATCCTGCTCCTGCTCTCCCCCTCCGCCTCAAGATCCTCCCGAGTCGGAGTCATTAGTGCTGGGCAGAATCGTTATTTATGGGCGGACATCCGCACCCGCACCCTGTCTTCACCTATGGCTACACATCCGCCTCCGGCAGCGAGCAAGCGAGCGCACCCACTCGCACTCCCGCTACGTACTCGCCGTCCATCCTTCATCCCTCCCGCTCCTGCTACATATCCCCCCGCTTCTGAATCGTTAATTCTGGGTCTAGGCAGACCTGCGCTCCGCAATCACCGTCGTCACCTACGCCGTCTTCACCTATGGCTACGCCTACGCCTACGCATATGCCTACGCCTCCCCGCAGCGATACGCCTACGCCTCCCCGCCCGCATACACCTACGCCTACGCCTACTCCGCCCGCGGCCGCATGCGCAATCCCTGTAGCGCCCGCCCGCCCGCAATCATCTTCACCTACGCATACGTCTACGCCTCCCCGCAGCGAGCGAGCCCACCGCAGCGCGCGTGTGCACCCCACTTCACCCCATCGTGCAGGAACGAGACCTTGCTGCGTGCTGTAGGCGACTGTGTGCGGGTGCGTGTGGGTGCGGGTGTGGGTGCGGGAGGGACGTGTAAGGTGCGATCACCCGTCTTCACATACGCCTCTCCGCCCGTGAGCGAGCGCACCCCACCCCATCCGATCGTCGAGGAACGAGGACTTGCTGCTTGCTGCAGGCGGGTGTGTGCGGGTGTGGGGTAGGACGAGAACGAGCCGAGGCCTACGCCTCCCCGCCTCCCCGCAGCGACCGAGCGCGCGCACCCCACCCCACCCCGGAGGAGAACGGAACGAGAATTCCCTGCGTGCAAAGCCGGCTGCAGGCGGGCGTGGGTGCGAGCGCGATCCATGAGCTCCCCTCCGCCCTCATGCCTTTGTTCGGCGGGCGGGCGGACCGTCTCATGGCGCGGGCGGATGGACCGTCCGACGTGCATTTGAGGGGGGAGGGAGCGGAGGGAGGAGAGGGAGCGGGGGATACTCATGATTATCGAGCACGACCACGACCAGACCATTTGTATTTTATCGCAAGTAGGCGGAGGCGGACGACGTACTATACGTTCTTGTACTATTCCTTTTTTTCTTTTTCTTTTTCACGCATTGCGTTGTTGTATCTATACTTGTAAACAGCTGCAATGTGCATATTATCATTCCGATTTCTCCGGCGATTTTACAGCACTGAGTAGTATCCTCCAACCATGGCTATGGGGGTATTCGTCTGAATGTGAATATCTATATAAGAATCCAACTTGGTTTGTCTTTGACCACATACTCTCATTGGCTCAACGACTCCAATGAGGTCATCAGCTCCACAGTTCCACTGAAATGTCGAATTCTCCACCGAGGTGTTGGATTTCTATTTATAACTGTCGAGATGCTCGCCAGTCCACCCAAATGTCTGTTTTCAACGGCTGGGCTCCAGTTGAGGAAAGCAGTTTTTTTACCTATGTAAGATAGACAAGTAGTCTATGCATCGGTAGTACTGTAACTTTGCATCCAAAGCTAACCAACCATGGTTTCAATCTCACGAAGAGTATGACTTCAAATGAAGTGATATCCCGCGAGAAAATTATATTGAGACTCTTACCCATTCTGCTTTCGGGGCCCCTTGATCAAATCGACTAAACCGAAGTGGGAAGGTTCGCAAAAGAGAAGTGAGAAGTGATGAAAGGTCAAGTGGAGTTTGTTTCGTGAACTGGAATAATACAGACCCTTCAGCTACACGGCCCATGTTCAACTTTGAGGACCAGAGGATCGCGCATGTACATACGAACGAAGTGTAACATACTT